AAAAAAAAAAATTCATGTTGTTTAGGAAATTTTTATCCCTAATCCACGTGTTGTTTAACTTATTTTTCAAACTCAATATCTCATTTGCCAGATTTCTATTTGCTAAGAAAAAACGTAATTTTAAAATATAACTAGAATTGGATAAATTATGTTTGAGAAAATTTTTGTTTTGAAATGGTGTTTTTGGACTAAAATATATTTTAAATATAATTGTTTTTCAAATCACACTTTTTTTTTAATAGCAAAATCATGTTTTTAAAACTGCATGATTTTGAGAGAAAAACTTATCTAACCGGTAAAACTCCTATTTAATTCACTTCTATATATTTGCATCATTTGTTAATATTCGAAGTTAACCTTTTGAATAACCATGATTATCATAGTTTGACCAAGTTTTGTGTCACTCCCAATTCTCACATTTCGTATTAGTAATTAGATTTATATGTTTATTCTGATAGGAAATAAAATACTCAAATAAATTTATTGAGTTTCTTGTAGTCCCAACTGCTCAATTTTTTCTTGTTTGTTTATCTTTAAAATCTTGAATTAGTCCGTAAGAAGTGAAACTTGAGTTGAGTAATTTTTAGTTGTCTTTGAATGACGTGATAAGATTGATGTATGCAATGAAATCAACCCCGATNTAAGTGTGCAGGAATGGTGCCTACAAAAAGTGTTTTCAAGACACTGGAATATTATAAGTTCAGATTTTGAACCCGGGCAAGTAGTCCAACAGTTTGGCTGAATCATGGACGTCTTAAATTTAAATCTCGCTAGTTACTCTCAGTTTAACCAATATTTATGGTTAGTGGGTAATTGTAAATATTTGATATTTACTTTGAATGGGTAAATTAGTGATTCTACAATATAAAAAAAAAAAAGNACATAATGGTAAGGTTTGCATCAATTAGTCCCTCAAGTTTGAGATAATTATCACCGTAACTCTAATGGATTTAGAATATATCTCTTAGGAGGTATGAGAAGTGATAAACCTGAAATTATTAGAGGTTAAACTCAGTCACTAAATCGCCCCTAAGAATTTACTTAATTAATAAAGTAGGCATCTTGAACGAATCCTTAAATAAATTAAAAGAATTCTTTTTCCCCAATTTTTTTTTCTCTTACGCCATAAATTAGATTTTTGAAACAAAGTATCGATCCACCTTTGAGTTCGGATTGAAATTTTAATTCAGGGGAAGAAATAATAAGCTAATTTATTTTTGGTTCTTTAAAAATTAAAAAAAAAAAAGATTTCTTGATAACAAACTCAAAATTTTTTTGTCAAGTTTTGCATGACATAGAGATTGCATGATCAAGGAATGAGGTGCTTTTAATAGTCCCATTCCAAACTGCATTACTACCCTGTTGTAATGCCTACCAAATCAGCAGTTAAATATGTGCACAATTATTTGTCTCTCCACCTCTCCATCATATTGGATTCTAAATAGAGCAAATTATATAAATATATATATATAATTACATTATTTTTAATAGTTAAGGTTTGTACATGATTCCCTTTTAGTCCCTAAACTCTCGACTGAAACACTAGAATCCCCAAATCTTAAAAATGCGTTTACATCAAGTCCTAAATTGTAAATTTATTTGAAATTACAACAAAAAATATCATGTAAATGCCATAAACCCTTGTCACAAGAGTAATTTTTGTCTGATTTGAGTGTATATATATATATATATATATATTTTAAGAACAAGTTTGGTGTCGACAAATGAGGTAAAATTTTGACACATTCAATTGCAGAGTTCAAATCTATAACAAATGAGGCAACAAAGTCACAAATTACAACACTATATTTGCTCAAAATTCGCGTGATGCTTTTCATTTGGAATTATAAGGATGTAGATGGAATGACTTCATTGAAGTATATCTTAAATCTAAGAACTTGATTGCTTCAATTGATAATTTAGGGACCACAAAGAAATTATATGTAAACTTGAAGCGTATAAAATATAATAACAGCTTATGAAGAGAACAAGATAACTGACAAAATAAAGAATAATACCCTTTAGGAGGAGGCGTATGAAAGCTCTCATTCTTAACAAACCCATGTCAATCTACCCTTTGTAAGACTTTAGGGCCCTCTACACACAAAGTTATGCATCTTCCAAAAGCATGATCATCACACAACTTCAAATTTTCAGCAAAAATCATCAAAGCATGTTCAATCTTCCCATGGAGCAGTTGAATGTGTTCATTTTACTACTGCATTTGATGTTCTTTGATGTCAAAGCACAATCTTCCACCAGTGAGAATGGAAATGGATCGCTTTCACAAGGCGTTAGTTCGGGTTTTCAGCCAAACCTTGCAGTTGTCATTGGTACCCTCTCTGTCATACTGTCCTTGACTTTTATCCTTCTGATTTTTGCCAAGTTCTGTCACAGTGCATCTTCTNGAATGGAAATGGATCGCTTTCACAAGGCGTTAGTTCGGGTTTTCAGCCAAACCTTGCAGTTGTCATTGGTACCCTCTCTGTCATGCTGTCCTTGACTTTTATCCTTCTGATTTTTGCCAAGTTCTGTCACAGTGCATCTTCTGTTCCCAACCAACAGATTCAAGATGGAGTACTTGTTAATTCAAGGTCTCGTTTCTCGGGTATCGATAGAACAGTGATTGAGTCTCTTCCTTTCTTTAGATTCTCTGCTCTTAAAGGCTCAAGGGAAGGTCTTGAATGTGCAGTTTGCTTATCCAAATTCGAAGATTTTGAAATTCTCCGGTTACTGCCCAAGTGCAAACATGCCTTTCACATAGATTGTATTGATCAATGGCTTGAGAACCACTCGAGCTGTCCTATTTGCAGGCACAAAGTCAGTGCTGATGATCTTTCATTCTTGACATACTCAAATAGTTTGAGGTTCTTATCGAATCAATCTGAGCTAAGAGAGGAATTGGATTTGGAGCTCTTTGTCCAAAGAGAGGAAGATCAAAAAGGGTCTTCAAGATTAAGCATTGGAAGCAGCTTTAGGAAGTTATACAATGGTAAGAAAGAAGAAGAACTGCTAACCAAAGAACCTTGTGATGTCGACGAAAATCAGAAGGCTTTTCATAAGCACAATCACAAGATCATTGTGTCTGATGTTGTCTTCAAGAACAGATGGAGCAATGTTAATTCCTCTGATCTCATGATTTTGAATTCAGAAATGCTTAATGCCATGTCCAGCAATAGATTCTCTTCTTTGGACTCGAAAAACGAGCAGTCCCCGACAGCTAGAGTTATTGAAGATGGTCATGTCATGAATATTAAGGAAGAAATGGAGAGGAAAAGAGAGTTTGAGAGCAAATTCAGCCAAATCAAGCAAGGTAGCTGCGAGTCCGAATCAAATTCAAGCAATGGATCAAAGGTTTTGAATGCCACAGGGAAAAGGTCTATGTCAGAGATAACAGTTCATCCAAGATTCAGAGAGTTCAACATGAAAAATAGTAGTAAACAGTCTTTTCCTGAGAATACTGTGGAGGAGGAAAGAACGAGAAGGCTTTGGTTGCCAATTGCACAGAGAACAGTTCAATGGTTTGTCAACAGAGAAAAAAGGTCGCCACAGTACCCGCTATTAAGGGGGATCAAACTGGATAATGACCCTTTAAAGTCTTGTAACACGAGAGAGTCGTTAAATGACCCTTTGAAATCTCGTAACATGAGGGAGTCGTTAAATGTATAGCTCTTGAAATCTGGTGCATTAGGTATGGTGACATTTAGAATGGAATTCATTGAAACTCTCTCCCCTCAGGTAGTGTAATTTTGTTCAAGAGATGTAATTATACTTCTTTTTTTCTAAAAGAAAATTATATTTCCATAGTTTCACTAGAACTTTGTACCATGATTGTTTCAGATTGTATTGATTTCTACGGTTTAGATTTACGAGTTCTGTAATATGAAATTGTCAAGTGCTATTATTGATTATTGGATTATTCATTAACCGATCCCATATAGTTGAGATATGGATTTGTTTGATGTGGTTATCGATGTAGCCATGAATTGGCTGATCAAACCCTTCTCACCATCAGGAGATTTATCTCACCAACTTTCTGATGAATAGGGCAGGGCTCTGACTCCAACAGAGTCGGAGGGCACACATCCGACCTAAATCATTGTTGTTTCCATACGAGATAAGTGGATACCCTCTCCGTTCTTAAATATATGTCGTTTAAAGTTTTTGCACAGGGATTAAAGAAACTATTAAATAATTCTAATATGAGTAAAAAATAATTGCACAAGACTAAAATACACTTATTCAATACGTATCGAGAAGGAAAGGAATATGAAAGACACTTAGCCTACACTTAATCTGTTAAACACTTATTGAAAAACAGAGATAAGGATAAATTTGAAAGAAAAAATATTAATTATGTTTTGGTTTCATAAAACGACAGATATTGTGGAACAAAAAAAATTAGGTAAAACGACAGATATTTAAGAACGGAGGGAGTAACATTTTTCATCATTAATGCCAAAAAATTCTTGAAAAATATCTAGAAACTTTTTTTTTAAAATCCAATTTTTCCTAAAAGAGTAAAAATGGTTATTCACGTTGACTAATAAATATTNTAGGTAAAACGACAGATATTTAAGAACGGAGAGAGTAACATTTTTCATCATTAATGCCAAAAAATTCTTGAAAAATATCTAGAAACTTTTTTTTTTAAATCCAATTTTTCCTAAAAGAGTAAAAATGGTTATTCACGTTGACTAATAAATATTTTTTTATCAAATGCCTAACATCGAAAACTCAATTTCAATTTTCTCGTGTTTTTTGAATATGGTGTAATCCGTGCTTGAATGATTTTGAAAAAAATGTTGGTGCCAAAAAACACNTTTTTTTATCAAATGCCTAACATCGAAAACTCAATTTCAATTTTCTCGTGTTTTTTGAATATGGTGTAATCCGTGCTTGAATGATTTTGAAAAAAATGTTGGTGCCAAAAAACACCAAACCCAAATTTCTTGTTGAGCTACTGGTCAACCCATTTAAATATACCCATGCCCCATCCATTTTCCTAAGAAATCAATGAATCATCTTTCCATGATTTTATGCAGAATATTCTCATTTACTTTTTTTTTTGTTTATAACTAATATGAGTTAATAACAAACAGAGCTTCCCTGTAGTCATAATAAAATAAATCTTAGACTTTGTCCACGCATTTTTTACATAGAAAAAAATATTAATTTGCTGTAATATGGTTGTTCTTTATAGTTTTATAATTCTCTTTAACATTAGTATATTAAATATTGTAATTGATTATAATTTTGCAAAGTGTTGCGTAAGAACAAGATGTCACTGTTTCNTCTCTTTAACATTAGTATATTAAATATTGTAATTGATTATAATTTTGCAAAGTGTCGCGTAAGAACCAGATGCCACCGTTTCTTACGAAATAAATATTGGATATAACGGCAACACAACATCATTCAATGTCATGTGGTGTCACTAACCAATGATAGAATATCAACTGAATTTAGTGGGCTCCATTATCTTATTAACTATCAATACCTACCTCTCTCATGTTAGAACAGTAGAATTCACCAATTTTATTTGTTATTTTATAATTGATTGGTGATACTACGTAACATTGATGACGTAGTGTCACCATTACAACCAATATTTACTCATTTCTTAGGACAATGTTTTGTTGATATTTGGCATGACGTGCCCTCCCAGCTATTGTGACATTGCCGATAAAAAAACTAGAATTTTACTCTCGGGAAAATATTGAACAATTTGAACAAGTCAACCCGAGCTTAACTCAAAATTTTTAGTACTTGGGATGAAGATTTACAAATGCNCTCAAAATTTTTAGTACTTGGGATGAAGATTTACAAATGCTCGGGATGAACTTGAGCAAAAATATTTCAACCTAATTTTAGTTTTGACAGTGGTGTGGTATTTGATTTTTGAGATCTAACTCAAACCTAACTCGAATTATAGTTGATTTGCGTAACCTGTGAATCAAAATTCAAGCCCCATTTGAACTGGGTTCGGCTTTTCTCCATTCAAAGGGTATTTGGTTTAGGCATTAAGCGTGAAACTTGGATAAAATAATGTTTCGCTCGATTTTATCCCATTTATTCTCTTGTGTTGGATACACACTTTGAACTCGGTATTTTCACCTAAAAGTACTCTTGGCCTAGATGAATAGTATTTTTAAACCCGCATATAGTCTCTTAAATAAACCCACCTATTTGGTGGGTTTAAATAGTCCGGTGGGAATATTTTTTAGTAAAATATATTTTTATCCCCAAGAATATCTAAAATATAATTATCTTGAGAATTCTTTAATAATTTAGTATATATATATCATTATTCAATACTCCATCCAATCAAAATATTAGATGAGATAAATATGGGGTTTATTATTTTTTAATACTTGAACTAACACATGAGATGATGAAACATTATCACTATAATTAGCCCAAGATTTAAATGAACGGGTTTGTCCAATCCAATACTATCTAATACAGAAATCAAACATATATAAGATTTGTCTGCATTAATTGGTCATATCTTATTTGAAAACTACCTTGAAAATTCTAAAAGCAAATAGAATGTACTATTTTAGATGCTGATCCCCTCAAATATATATATTTTTTATTATTACTTTCTCTCCTTGATAGATCACCAACATGTAAAAGTAAGGCATCCATTTTTAGACAATAAACCCCATTGGAATTCGCAACACGTGATTTATCAAGAAAAAATAATGGAGGACAAACTTATTAACACAAGACTGTGCAATCCTCCCACTCTCTAATAGAGAGAGATTTTTTTTTTTGGGGGGGGAGGGGGAAGGAGGAATTTCATGGTTTTCTCATTTGAAAATGTTTAGTGACATCAATTTCTTCTAATAGTTTAGATTAAATCTCAACCTTTGAGTTTCTAACATTACTCCCTCAATAATTTAACTTTATTCATACTATCTATCGAAAAACAAACCATCCTTCTTATTTTGAATGAAAAATATTCAAACTTATAATTGATAAGGTTGTTTCATTGTAATGTCAAGGGTTTGAGTTGTAAAAACAGTTTCTATATTTGCAGAAGTAAGATTACGTACATCAAATTCTCTCTCGATCCCACAATTATAAGAGTTTGATGCATTGAATACACTCTATAATTAGAGTAATGTGAAATCAATAATAATATTTGAAGGTCAAACGTGAAAAATATTTTAGTTGAAGCGAGTAATGTGAAACATAAACTTGGTTGAAGGTTGAAGCCTCAAGGTGCAAGGTGGGGTACCATGAGTATAGTTGAGGGCCAAAATATCATTTTCCTATATGTGAATACGGAATCAATTTCTGAATTTGTTCCTATCTCCCGTTGATCTTTAGAAGCCCAGCCCTAGTACGGGATATCCTATCCGCGTAACCAAACAAGCAAAGGGTAAACTCGTGATTCTCGTTCGTTTCTCCGCCCTCGTACCGCTTGGGAATCAAAGCACCTCTTCACCTCCACACTTCACTCCAAAATTAGCTTCCCACAATCTCTCCCTTTATTCTACATTCTCTCTCTCTAACATTGCCAGCAGCATCAAAGCTACAGTCACCACAATCTCACTCTCTATCTATATATGTTGATGTTGATATATATATAGCATAGCCATAGATATTTGTAGAGAGAGAAAGTTATAGAAGGCGAGTGCTTGTAAAGAGAAAGATGGTGAGGATTATACCTATGGCGTCGTCTATTAGACCTTCTCTGTCATCGCTAAGATTTACTGCTACTTCTCGAATTGGTGTTTCTCTTGCCTCGCAAAATCCCTCTCGCAAGCTCAGTTTATATCATTTTGGCAGTGGTAAGATATCTACTATTCATTGTATTGATTTGTATAGCCTTTTACTGCTTATATTTCTTTGTGTTTAGCTCATTTCTCGATTTAGAGTTTGGGCTTTCATGTTTTATTTGTTGTATAGATCTATTTACAAGATAAATTTAGTTACTTTTTTTTTTTAATGGATTTTTGATTGTGTGCATGCCCGTGTGCTGTTATAGCCTTGGTAAAAACAATTGGAGAGTCAACTAGGGTTCTGTCTGGTATCTATATGTAAATTGAATTATTATGGGTACTGAAGAAAAAATGCATTTTTTTCAATGTGCATTTGAGTTTACTTTAAATCATTATGGTTAGATTCTTACACTAGACATGCTGTTGCAGAATGTAGAAAAAATAAAAATAAAGAGTAAATATTATTTGGGATAAGGCTACGTTGAGTTGAATTATTTTGCCAAGATAATTGAAGAAAGCTACCCCAAAATTATGTCTTTTAACCTGACTTGATGATGGCTTCTTTGACCTAACTTTGCTCGTACCAAACTCTGTATCGGGTAATATCCATTATTTGTAGAGCTAAAATTGCTTTTTTTAATCCGCAAGGGGGTATTTAGACATGTTACTGAAGTTGAATTAGTTCAACCTCTTTGTTTATATCCCTTGATATGTGGAATGTGGATGACGAACATTGAGGCAGGATTATAGAAGCATGAGGCTTATGCACTTAATAATTTTGTTTTTTCATTCAGCGATTCCACAGTCACAGTGTTTCGGCCTTAAAGCTTCTAAGTTATTAAGAGGAGATGGGAGCAGCATGGCAATTAGTGCAGCTGGAAATATGGCACAAGCAAGCACTAACACTAGCCAAGAGAATGCCTTAGACTGGGTCAAAAAGGACAAGAGAAGAATGCTCCATGTTGTTTATCGTGTTGGGGACTTGGACAGGACCATAAAGTACGTGTCTCTGATACACCATGATCAGCTATTGTGATCTTGTAATTTGTGATTCTTCTCAACAGTGTTGATTGAACTCTAATGCTGGCTGCAGATTCTACACAGAGTGTCTGGGAATGAAGCTGTTGCGAAAACGAGACATACCTGAGGAGAGATACACAAACGCCTTTCTTGGATATGGACCTGAAGATTCTCACTTTGTTATTGAACTCACTTACAGTAAACTATCTTAAGTTCTCTTAATTAAATTACTGTTTTCTCAATTTGGGAACTTTATATCAACCTCCTGGAGACTGCTTCAATTTGAACTGTATTTGTCTCAATTATGCGCATTAGTTTTAATCTCATATGTGCCAAGATCATTTGTCATTAACTCTTGTGATTTTCTTTAATGATGCTGCCAGACTATGGAGTTGACGCATATGACATTGGATCTGGTTTTGGCCATTTTGGTATTGCAGTTGATGATGTAAGTCTCTGTTGATTTTTCACCGCTCTTTTCATAAATTTTTGTTTTTCTGCTGCCTAATTAAGAGTCTTGCATAAGATAGTAGTATAGGTGTACCTTTTTGGTTTAAGTAATTCTTTTCATAGAAATGAGGGGTTTTGATTTTTTGACCGAACTGATGACTTTTTTCTGCCCTGGCCCTGTCCCTGTCCCTGTCCTTGTGTATGTGTGTTTAAGTTTTATTTCTACTGCAAGACGAATTTGTATACATGGTCCCTTTTGCTACATGAATATACTTGTGAACATATTAGCATGATGCCTTCTTTGAAAATTAATACATTGTTTAACAATGGATGTATATGTGGAAAAATGTTTTCAATTTATCATAAACGCTACAGTTAATGTTAGAACACTTATCAACAGCCTTTTGGTTCCATAGGTTGCCAAAACTGTGGAACTCATAAAGGCAAAGGGTGGCAAAGTAACCCGGGAACCCGGCCCTGTTAAAGGTGGCAGTACAGTGATAGCATTTATCGAAGATCCTGATGGTTATAAGTTTGAACTTTTGGAGAGGGGTCCTACACCTGAGCCGCTATGTCAAGTAATGCTTCGAGTTGGTGATCTCGAGCGGTCCATAAATTTTCATGAGGAGGTGAGTGTTGCTCCGTATTTTTCGTGATCAGTGTACTCTTCATCACAATATTCTCAATTTACTTGGTCTTTGTTAAAGTTATAGCATAAGTTATTAGGGTTTTCCTTTTTTTATCTTTGTTTTACCTTTTTATCCTTATTGTATCTTTATTGTTGACTATATATACGGGGGCTCTACACTTAGTTTGTATCCTTTTGACTCATATATATTCCTCTTCTTGGTATCAGAGCCAAACCCTACCTCTAACTCTAACCCTAACCCTAACCCTAACCCTAACCTCCGTCATAATCAAGCCACGGCTAACCGACAGCAACCCAGCCACTGCCACAGGCCAGTCATCTTGCTGCCTCACTACCCAGAAACCTTCTCCATAACCACCGGCCATTACCAGCCAAGACCCAACAGCCCACTGTCCAATAACCTTCTCCCAAAGCCAATACCGACAATACCACTTGCTGTCTCACTGCCCAGCAACCTTCTCCATAACCATTGGTCATTACCAGCCAAGACCCAACAACCCACCGCCCAATAACCTTCTCCCAAAGCCAATACCGACAATACCAACCACAACCTTTAGCTTACTGCCAATACCCCACAAAATCAAACCCCAGCACCGACAATCATACCACAGCCATCACCGACTGCATATACCAAAGCCATCACCGACTGCAACATATACTCATACCCAACCAAGCACACCGACTGTCCAAACACCCCAAGTCAGCCATACCCAAAACCGACAAACCCAAGTCAGCCATATCCAAAACCAAGCCGCCGACTATCCAAGCGGTGTCCACCTCTAACTGAGGATCCTGAACGAGACCCTGCAGCAGCTGCAAGGGCCATCTGGTCAGTCGAAGGAGTCAAAGTCTTAACTGGAAGTGATGCAATACGGACGCGACGCTCATGCTGCTCAATCATTGCATACACCTTATAAAGAGAAGGAAGTCTCAACATCGACAAGATTTGGGAACGAGGCCCCTCAAACTCATCACGAAGCCCTATAAGAAACTTGTGAATCCTATCCTCTTGCTCTCGAGTATGCAAGAATGCAACTTTCTCGGGCTTTATCCTCGGAATAGCAGCAAGAGGACGTAGAGTCTCATACTCAAATCAGCGCTGGGTTAAATAGTCATAATAATCCTGAACAGTCATATCTCCCTGCTAAGCATATAAGAGTTCCTGAGAAAGTTCATAAACACGAACTCCCCGTCTTGACTGGGAATACATCTCCGATAATGCACTCTATAATTTCGGAACAAAGCTATGAAACTGGTGTATCCTGCAAACAGATAGCTCCATCGAGCCAAATAACCATCCAAGAATGGTGTAGTTCTCAGAGAACCACGCAGAATATCCAAGGTCGGCATCAGCTGGCTTTTGGGTGAGATCCCGTCAGCCAACCAAGCTTCCCTACACGGCCCAAGAAAAACTGGAATGAACGTGACCACTCAGCAAAGTTACGACCATTCAACCACTCTGTCGTAATCTTCTGAGAGATCATTCCCAGCATTGCCGGTAAAGCAACTGTGCTAGTAGGTACTGTGTACTAGTCAAACATAAAAGTGGGAGAAGTAGGCGGTACATGTCCAGTGGAAGTATTAACAGAAGCCTCAACAGTAGAGGTCTCTACAGTAGGAGTCTCTAGTCCCTCAGTAGTAGTCATGTCAACAATAATACATGGGCACCCGTGACAGAAAAAAAATAACTCTTAAGATAAATAGAGGGATAAAATAAGGGAGAACAATATACCTCAAGTCGAACAATAGCGACAGATAAAGAAGGTCCAGAAAGCTCCCAAGTAATCAAGTCATGGTGCCTAAAAATTCATAAAATATATATAAGTGATCTGCTGCATCAACAACAGATTAATAGAAAAGAGGATCTGATGCCTCCTCAAAAAGGCCTAGATATTACAACTCTAGGAAAAAAGGTGGCGCGAAAAGATAGCGACACTGTAATGAAAAGATAAACGCGACCCGATAGCGGGTTGATGAGTGGGCTGGTTTGGGGCTGGTCTGGGTTGCTTGCTGGAAGCTCCATCTGGAGCTTAAGCCCCCTCCTCAGGGCCGTACTGTTGCTATTGCTGAGGTACCACCACTGACTACCGCTACTCCTGCTACCGTTACTGTCCCTCCTTGGCAGAGTGATATGGATGCTATCACTCCCGATTGGATATGCTTATATCCGCTCTGACTTCTCAAAGTCCAACTACTGTGACTGCCACCACTACAAGTATACCTCGTGCTTTTCATGCTTGTGTCAGTTCGTCTCCCCTTTGGATGCTAGACTCTGGTGCGAATGGTCACATAATAGGTGAAGCCCATCACTTCACTACTTTTGACGAGCAATTACATATACAGGTTCAACTAGCAGATGGGACACATGCCCCTATTATTAGTAAGGGTATAGTTTGCCTTCCAGATGACTTTATATTACGTTCAGTGTTTTATGTGCCAAAGCTGGTCATGAATCTATTATTTATACATCAATTAGCCAGAGATTTTCACGGTGCGGTTGTGTTCTTATCTAATTCGGTATTATTTGCAGGACTTGAGTATCAGGAGGATTATTATCAGGGGACATTAGAGAGATGAACTGTATTATCTAGGCGATTCACCTCCAGTTTCACCTGTTCTTTCACCTCCATCACTTGCACTTGCTTTATCTTTATCTGTTCTTAGCTTGTATGCTAGTATTTTACCTAGTACTTGTCGTTATGATTTTTTGTCACAAACTATTCAGTTGTGGCATGATCGTTTTAGACATACAAATTTTAAATATTTATGTATGTAGTTTCTTACTTTAAGCAATGCTTGTGTTGGTGGTAAACTTGATTGTGTTATATGTTCTTTATCGAAACATGTTAGGATCAGTTATATTCCTCGTATGCACCAATCACCCAAGCCATTTGACCTAATACATTCTGATATTTGGGGGCCCTTTCCTGTTACTGCTCTGTCAGGTACTCGATACTATGTGACATTTATAGATGCCCATACCCGTTGTACTTGGGTCTACCTTTTATATAGAAAGTCTGATGTACTCTCTGTTATCACTCAGTTTCTCTAGATGATTAAGACACAATTCGATGTCATTGTTCGTGCTTTTTGTTTGGATAATGCCAAACAATATGTGTCTGATGCCTTAGTGTTTCACCTTTCTTTCCAGGGTATCCTTCAGCAGCTCACTTGTCCATATATTCTTGAGCAAAATGGAGTTGTTAAAAAGAAAAATAGGAGTCTGATAGAGATGGTACGTTGTATGCTTCGAGGTATGGCGTTACCAAAATCTTACTGGCATTTTGCTGTTTTGACTTCTACCTTTCTGTGCAATCGTACACCGAGTCGTGTTCTTCGGCATAGGGCTCCCTTACAAGTTTTATTCCTTGAGCAGACACTTTTTTCTGTCCCCCCTCATGTTTTTGGCTGCACATGTTTTGTTCAGGATCGGTCTCCTACTTGGCATAAGCTTGATGATATAACGATTCGTTGTATCTTTGTGGGCTATTGTCATCAGTCTAAGGGGTATCGGTGTTATTATCCTATCAGCTGTCGTATGTATCATAGTCTAGATGTTACTTTTCTTGAGCATATTCCCTATTTTTCTTCCAATCCTGTGTCTTCCCTTCCAGTTGATGATACTCCCTTTGATTTTTCATTACCACAAGAGCTAGAGCCATTGATCCCTATCACTACAGAGTCATTAGTCTCTTCTCTTCCAAAGCCAGAGTCATCAGTTTCTCTTCCTTTGCAGGTTTATGTTTGTTGCCCTCGCTCTTATCCCCTTGCTGATGTCCCCTCTACCTCAGGCGATGCAGGTAATACTTCTGAGTTTGTTGACCATATTGATGTCCCTGTTGTTAGTACTGATGAGATTGCAAGTACTGAGCCAGTTACATTATCTGATGAGACATTTTTAGTGGAGGATGATGATTTAGGGCGTCGTTACCCGCGGCGTAATCGCCGTCCAGTTGATCGTTATGGTTGGACCACCAGAATTTTATATCCAATCTCTGCTTATATTTCTTATGGTGATTTGTCTTCTACATTTCGAGCTTATAGTATGGCCTTATTAGATACGCCGGTTCCTCGCTCTGTTTCAGAGACTATGCGAGAGCCTTAGTGGGTTCTTGCCATACAGACGGAGATGGACGCTCTTCAGCATAATCATACATGAGATCTTGTTTCTTTACCTTTAGGGGTAAAGCCTTTTAGCTGTCGTTGAGTTTACACCCTGAAGTTTCTTGCGGATGGTACTATTGATCGTCACAAGGCTAGGCTTGTGGCGAAGGGCTTTACTCAAGTACCAGGTCGTGATTTTGGTGCTACATTTGCCCTTATGGAAAAATTGACTACGGTTCGGTTGATTATTTCTCTAGCTGCAGAGTACTCTTGGCCTCTTCATCAGTTATATGTGAAGAATGTGTTTCTTCACGGTCTGGACGAGATTATTTATATGGATGCACCACCAGACTTTCGTGGTGAAGGGGAGTTTGCTGGAAAGGTATGTCGACTGCGTAAGTCTCTTTATGGACTGAAACAGTCACCACGAGCCTGGTTCTCTCGCTTTAGTGATGTAGTCGTACGTTTGGGGTTCACCAAATGTCATTTTGATCATACCTGCTTTTTTTAGCGGAATATTTTTGGACAATGTGTTATCCTTTTGGTATATGTTGATGATATTATTATTATCGGGGATGATGTTTCTGGGACTGCGCAGATCAAGGTAGACCTTGGGAAGGCCTTCGATGTGAAGGACCTTGAATTTCTGCGATACTTTCTTAAGAATGAGGTTGTCTGTAGCAGCAGAGGTGTTGTTTTTTCTCAGAGAAAATATGTTTTGGATCTTCTTTCAGATACTGAGATACTGAAGTACAAATCGGCATCATCACCCATGATTCCAAACCTGAAGCTTACTGCTGAAGGTAAGGAGTTGAGAGATCCGACTGTCTATCGGAGGTTGGTAGGTAGACTTATCTATCTAGCCAACACAAGGCTAGACATTTCATTCGTAGTCAACCGAGTTAGTCAGTTTATGCACAAGCCGTGTCAGCCTCATCTTGATGCAGTTTATCATATTCTTAAGTACCTCAAGTCTTGTCCTGGACTTGGGTTATTCTATGCATTAGGATCTCAGACTGGTTCTCTAGCTTGTTGTTTAGATTCAGATTATGGAGGAGCGTGTGATAGTCGATCTACTACTGGCTTTTATGATTTTCGAGGAGCTCATCTTATCTTTTGGAAGAGCAAGAAGCAGTCAGTTGTCTCCCGCTCGTCAGCAGAGGCAAAGTATCGGGCACTGGCACTTGGCACATGTGAGATTATCTGGCTACGATCGATTCTTGGCGAGTTGGGATTTTCAGTGACTTCTCCATCCACATTATATTGTGATAATCGATCTGCTATTCAGCTTGTTTCTGATTCTGTACTACACGAGAGGACGAAGCATATAGAGATCGATGTTAACTTTTTTCGGGAGAAGGTTAGCTGTGGTATTATCACCCTATTGTTTGTGGGGACTAGTGATCAGGTTGCGGATGTTTTCACCCAACCTGTCACTCTATCCATTCTTCAGGACTCTGTTGTCAAGCTTGACTTAGTTGATATTTTTGCACTTAGTTTGAGGGGGAGTGTTGGAGTTATAGCATAAGTTATTAGAGTTTTCCTTTTTTACTTTTGTTTTACCTTTTTATCCTTATTATATCTTTATTGTTGACTATATATACGGGGGCTTTACACTTAGTTTGTATTCCTTTGACTCATATATATTCCTCTTCTGTCTTCACTGATAATTCGTTCTTTTCTTATGCATTACTGATGTCTGATGCTCATCCTCCGTTATGTTTTTAATTTGTCTCATTTTACTGTTCAGGCTTTTGGCATGGAGCTTCTTCGCAAACGAGATAACCCTGAATACAAGGTAAGTTTTCCTTTTCTGATGATTGGATTGAGTAAAGCCATCAGAATTCAAACTCTAGGCCTACGATACGAATGGAGGGTTGGGTCTTTTGGAAACCCCTTAACTTTTAACCCTTCCATCCATAGGGAAAGGATTTGATCTCAAGGAGGGAAAAACCAATTTTTACTCACTCATGTCTACATTCTAGAGTCTGCTCTAATATGCGTGAAACATTTGCATGGAACTTTATGTGAGAGATTTCAGCTTGCTTTTGATCATGGCAGAACTGCGACTGCGGTTCATCTTCTATGGCTGGCATGCTTCCAAATGATTTCCTCTATATGTAGGTTCCACAGATAGTGTCCTTAAATGAGCTTAAACTGTATAAGAGTAAAAACATTCCACCTGTTGCTTAATTTCACATGCCTAGACATGAATTTTAACACATTTTCTTGTGCTAACTGTTGTCCCCTTAAGTTGCATTTCCACTACAAATTATGAGAAGTTGCTGAAGGGCAAGTCATTCTAGTGATCACTCCCTGTGGTATCAATCACCCTATTCTGAGTCCAGCTGGCCAGGATTTAACCTTCCTTATGGTGCTTTTTTAGGGGTCCACTTGGTTTGTCCCTGTATTGCATCCTCTCAAATTGTATTAGTAGTCTCTTTGATTTTAATTTGCTTTTCCTCTGTCTTATTGATAAATGTATTTGTAACCTGTTAGTTTGACAAGCAATTTCTTTGTTTGAATAAATGAATTATGAATGCAACTAATTGAGCTCTTGCAATCTCACCTCTTGATCTTGCTCGTGAAGTTGGTTGGAGCTTATGGTCCTTCCACAGTCCTATGTGCTGCAATTCTTAAAAACTGTTATAGAAAGCAAAAATTGAATATATGCTTTTCAAACAGTTCAGTTACTTAGAATCCTTTAGTTGCCTATGTGACTATGACAGCTATTTTATAGCTATTTGTTGATCTGAGGTGCTACATTCTTTCTTATTGAAGTAGTTTTAATGCACCTATCTGGCCAATATAAGCTTGTGGTCCTTTTCACAGTATACAATAGCCATGATGGGCTATGGTCCCGAAGATAAAAATGCTGTGCTGGAGTTGACGTACAACTATGGCGTCACTGAATATGAAAAGGGAAATGGTTATGCTCAGGTAGAGACGTTCTATTTTACATTAACCCTAGAACAGTGATATTATTGTCACTCACCATGGGTATCACTACCTTGGTTTTGCACCCAGGTGGACCCATATTGAGGGACTTAGTAAATTGACATATTTTCTCTCTATCTGAACAGATGGCAATAGGCACAGATGATGTTTATAAAACAGCAGAAGCAATTAAACTATGTGGTGGGAAGATTACCCGAGAACCTGGACCCCTACCTGGTATCAACACCAAGATTACGGCTGTCCTGGATCCTGATGGTTGGAAGACGGTATGGCTTTTGCCTGAGAACTTATTTTTTTGGCAAAATTGTCTTTGAGTACAACGTGACGGCTATCAAATTGGGTTATTGTCTTGTCTGGGCTTCCACATCTGTGGCACATCTGCTTTAACTTTTGATTCTGGATTATAATTTTTCAAACAATTTATTGTATGTATAACTATCTCAGCAATATGTTTCTAAAACACACAAAAAATGAGGTTGCAAGTATGGAAGAAAATTGTTGCTCGGGGGTTTAGGTCAACGTAAGTGTCATCAACAGAGGAAAACTTGAAATTAGCTTACAATTGGCTTTGTGAAGGTTAGACCGTTTGAAACTCATCTTCTGGATTGGTTGATTCAATGTTTCATCTTTCCCAGTATGGTTGAAGTCAAACTTGACTTGGGGAACCAAAGTTACTTGAAATTCCTTCAAAAATGGCAGACAACCCTACTTAATACGCAGGCTCAAGTTTTTGCTTCGACCCTTCTTTATATTTACTATTTGGATTGGGCCTCATTTCTGATTTACAAAGGCGAAATTGTTGCTGCCTGGGACATGGGCTTGTAGATGAAGCATAGGTGCAAGCAAACTACAATTAGTGGCTTATCATCTTAGGGGTTTGGGACCTAAATTTAGTTGATGCGAACTGTTACAGTCTATCAATGACAGTATCATTTGTTAATATATGTAGTAGATAGTAAAACACACTTTGGTATGACAAAAGAACTATTCTGAAGTAATTATGTTTTTTAATTGTTTTGGTAAAAGATATGGAGCAGCCTTGACAGTAAATATATAGTAGCCACACTAAATGTTTGGTTATCTTGCTTTCCCTCCCTCCCTGCAGGTTTTTGTTGATAATATCGATTTTCTCAAGGAACTGGAATGAGTTTTCTGGAAATGGTGATACCAAGCATGCAACAGTGGATCATGAACAAAGATTTGTGATGATATCTCGATGAAAGCTTCACCTCTGTTCAAAATGATTCTTCAAGCTCCGTCCGACATTGTATTAAATCCCGTTTTGTGTAGAAAATCACAATGCCTGTCACAGTAAACCTGCTATATAGGCATCTTGTTATAATTTTGCAGTGTAGAAAGATATTAATTTCGTCTAATAATTTTTTCCGCACCGTTCCCTTCATTTAAATTATCAGGACCGGAGGGGTGGGAGTGGGACTTTTATAATTTTCCAGATGGGGTTTGAGTGTCAATATCAAAGCCGCCAGGTGGTGGATATGTTGTTTTCACAAATTTCAGGGGATGTCGCTGTAATTTATCCAACAATTTATGAAACTCTTCGGCGCTGTTAATTTAAAATATAAAACAGGACGAATTTTAATAAATTTATTCAACGGTCTCAAATATATTTATTTAATGACTATTAAAATTCCTCTTAAAATCATTTCAATTGTATTGTGTTTTCAGATAGGGGTTATTATTAATATTTTTTCAAAAAGCTTTCTAAAAACTTAGGAAACGAAAGGATAAATATTTTTACAAAATAATTTTTGTAACAGAAGTTTTGTTAAAAACCATTGTTATTTTTTGGGTTTTTTTCTTTTTACGTTTTTTTCCATTTGTATGAATTAGCTAAATCACATATATTGCTTTGGTTGACAAAAATAACATTTTCTTTATAAAGAAAATCTTTAATTTCCTTTTACTTTTTCTATAAATCAATCAAAAAAAATTGGTTGTCTTTTCTTATATTGCCTTTCCTTTTTCTTTTCTCTTGGTGTATTTTCTCTTCTTTTTTGAGAAATGAATGAAATTCTTAAAAATAAAAAGAAAAACTATAATTTTCATTTGCTTTTTCTTCCAACTAAATATGGGAAAACGTTTATATATATTTTTCAGATTACTTTTCCTTTTTTCCTCTTTATGATTTTTCTATTCACTTCTTTTCTCATATACCAAATAGGAGAAAAGAAGATTAAGAGAGAGGGAGATAGAGATTTGCTAAAAAAATCCACTTTCTTCCCCTTTTCTTTCTCTTATTTAATTTTCTCTCCACTCTCTCCTTCTCTCCCATCTCATTTCCCTCCTTATTTCCCTCTTCCTTTCGCTCCTTTTCCTCCCGTTCCAAACACAAAGAAAAACAGCACCGAACCGACCTTCAGAGAAAATAAACACATACCAAAAATTATATAAAGTTAATAAACCCTAAAAAACAATTCGATAAACCCTTCACCTCCCTCTCTCTCTCTCTCTCTCTCTCTCTCTCTCTCTCTCTCTCTCTTCTGTGGAGTTAAGCGACTGCTGAAACCTTGAGACATGGACAATAACGAAGAGCATGAGTCAACGATTGGTCAACATCGACCGACAAAGAAGACAAAACCCAAGGAAGTGGCCATCTTTGGCAACTACCGAAACTACTATGGCTATCGTGTGAGCTCTTTTGCTCCCTTCTTATTTTATTTTTTTCGGTTTTTCAAATCTACACACACATAATTTCACAAGTAAACTGGGTGTCTTAGTTAGCTTATTTGCAATTAGTAAATTTTGTTGATTCAATTAGCCTAGCTGTTGGTTCATTTGTTCTTCTACGTATTCTTTTTTCGAAAATTGTTCATGTTTTTTTTATGGGTGTTTGGGTTTTAAGGGTTTGTTGGGGTGGTTATTCTAGATTAGTCAGGAGTTGGAGGAGGATCCAAGGTTGAAGGCATTGAAGAAGGAGTGGTTCGAAGGCAAGGATTGTCTTGACATTGGCTGCAACAGTGGGTTGATTACTATTGCAGTTGGTAATTAGTTCTTCGATGACATTTTAATTCAAAATTCCAGTTTCGCAAGTGTATTGCTTTTTTTTTTTTTTTTTTAATTTTTACTTATCATCAAAAGAACAACTTAAAAACCATTGAGGAAACCCTTCAGGTATCATTGCTGTTCTTTGTTCTGGAAACGACATTGAAATTTTTGGAGATTTAAGTTGTTATTTCACACCAAAAAAAGAGGGAAAGGGAATGTAAAGCATGACTTTATTACCTGGGTCATCACCAGCGAAACCATGGACCGTTAGTGTTTTATAGATGTGTTTGCCTGATTAAAATGCCACAAACACATCTCTAAAACAGAAATGGTGACTAGTTCTGTGGTTAAAATTAGGGCCAGTATCATTGACGTTATGTGTTCGATGCTCAAGGCACCCATTTGTGCAAGTAACATCACAGATTAGGTTTGTACCTAGATTTACCCTGCTGTGAACCCATTTATGGGGACTAGACTGAGTGTTATTTATTTACTTTTAGATGTGCTTGGGTGATGTAACGTGTCAAAACATCAAGGTGACACCTAGAAACAGGGGAAGCTAGCAAAGGTCAATAGAAGTTAGCTAAAGAAAATAAACATTTATTGAAATTATAAAGTTGGAATTGGAAACATTTCATAGTTTGGACGGTCTCCTATAGCAGAAGTGGCCATCATGCTCAAACCAAACTAATTCTTTTGTGTTTTGGGCTGTCATATTTTTCCTTTTGATTGTGCTTGAGAGTAAATAGTCATTGTGGGTCTTCATGCATTTATTTCACAATGAATTTAATTCATTTTTCTTTTTCACTCACAGCAAAAAAATTTGGTTGCCGGAGCATCCTTGGAGTCGACATTGATTCAAGTAAGATTATCATTTTGTATCTGTAATTTGTTTCTGCAAAAAGTTTCGAAATAAACGTTTAGATTACACTTTTCTGTGTTCATCATGTTCGTCAATGGTAAAGACTTTCGGTTTCACGTGCCTTATTTCTAAAATGAAAAATCTGGGGCATATATTTTGCATACATATCTTGTGCGTTAAATGTAAGATACCTCCACTCAGCTCAGTTCATACTTTATTTTCTCTTGCACAGAAATTTATATACTCGTCTTGACAGAAATTGACTATTTCCTTGGGTCGAAAGTCCATGTGACTTAATTTGTATTTTAAGTCAGGACTCAGAAACAAAATCTGCTTTGAGAATATGCTTATGCTGAAATTTTGTCAGTCTTTCTATACTTGGTTTTCGCCTTAAGGAAAAAAGAAAGGCACGGGATCTTGTGATTTAGAGTGTTAGTGAAATGATGAAATGGGAATGTCTTGGAATAGGGCATCATTTAATTGGATGACTGACAAAAATTGCAATAAATAATTACTTGATGACGTATCTGGTTTTCGTAATAGAGTGGTATTATCTGAGAATAGATCACCAGATTGAACTAGAGAACATACTGAATGATAAAGCGTCCAGTTGTTATGAATACTATTCAAGCAGTTTAAACCATTGGCTTCGATTGGATTGGCCATAGATTTTTGAGGAAGCCACTGTTCATTATGCAGAGTTAGAAGAGAAAGCGGTGTGGTAGAAAGGAGGCAGAGGATTGTTGGGATAGGTGTGAATAGGGCATTAGATTATGTTGTGAATTCGACTTTTTTTTTTTTTTAACAGATATATCTTTATTGTGGAGTTAACTTCAGGTTATCTGGTTTGACCTTGTTTACAAACTCCATTCTTGTAACCAATGACCTTCATTCCTGTAAATCTGTTATCTTACCACATTTTCCTACATTGAAACTTTTTCTTTGAGTATTTGAAAAATTATAGGTTTGGGAAATTGAAAGATCTCATCCTTGAGTTAAATTGGGCAATGTCATTGTATGGTTAATAATTTATAAGAATCACTTTTCTTCATTCTTTCAGCTCGAATTGAGGATGCATATTGGAACCTTAGGAATATTGTGAGGACAAGTATGCGTNTTACGCCACACTCAGGTATTTTAACCTAAACCCATCACCCATTTCGACTACTTAGATCATACGAAGAATAAGGCTGTTAATGAACTCAAGAAAGCTTCGAATCACAACAATGGAAATGTTGTCCTTGAGACATCAATGGTGCATTCATCCGAGGGCTCTACGATATCTGATGAAGAATGTCACATGGAGTCCGATGCTGAATCATCATGTAGTCCTCAACCTGTTGCTGGCAATAGTTTACCGGAGAGTGATGCGCAGTGATCTTATGATTTATGGGATGAAGAGGGAGCTAAGAAGCTGGTTGAGGTATTGGCATGGATGGTGGTTGTTTACAGTGAAAAACCAGGGGAGGTTTTGGCTGAAGTTGTGAGGGTTATTAAAGATTAGAGGAGAAACAGGTTGTTCCTCGAAAAAGATTACGGCCATGTCCAGCTTTTCGGAATCTGTTCTCAAAATTTTAAAAACACCAATAACTTATTTATTTAATATTTTTATTTTCAAAATTTAAAAAAAAAAATGAGATTTGAATCAAAGAAACAGAAAATAATTTTAAGTTATTTTCAGAGTTTTCTTTAAAAATTTTGAAAATAAAGAGAACAATTTTAAATTTAAATGATGTCTGCCCTTCGAGTCTCATTACCAACCAATTTTTTTTTTTTTTTTTTTTACTTCTTCCTCTCTCTCATAATATATAATATATATATTAATTATAACCCGTATCTGAAGGTACGATAAAATATAAAATTTTAGCTTCCAAAAAATTGATCCCACTATATTAATTTTTTTCAAATTNTGACAAGGTATGTATCATGCATCTTTCCACATTTTGGCAATGAAGTTTAGCATCAGCTGGATGGAGCTGGAAACAATCCTACAGATATGGTGCTCTCTTGTTGACAAAAAAATCACTAATATCTCATCTTCAATATGATTGCAGATTGGATTTAGAATAGTAGAAAACATAACATCCAGCTTATCCGGTAACAAATCTGGATTCAACAGACCCATTTTGGCATTCTGGAAGTGATATGCAATTATGCATAGGTTCCCTTTTTTTAAGGAAAAAAGAATCTGTAAAAGAGGTGTTTCCTCGCCATTGAAGATGGCTAGCATTAAGATTTTAATACCATTGAGGTATTGTGTATTTAAGGTATAGAGCTAAACAAAGCTGCTTTATAAAAAAATTGAAACAAAAAATAGAAAAAAAAGAGTTTGTCATTCTCCAATTGATATGAACTCTGTGTGTGTGTGTGTGTGTAAGGAATGTATTTATACGGAATTAAAGGCTCAATATTTAAAGAGCCTCACTATTGGTGGTTGCCATTTGTATATGCGCCTTTGGATGCCTCTACAAGCACGAGTTGTGTGTGTGAAACAGCTCAGTTTATGACACGCTTTATTTTGCTTTTCTTTGTTCATGAAAACCATATGTTGTTTCCAGGGATGCAGTGGAGCGGGGTAAAGTGGAAATTTGTCTAAATTTGTCCTGTTTGAATCGGAGATAGACCATATTTATTGGATGGTAGGTGTATAGGAAAATATTCGTATAAACTTGTATGGGGATGAATTGACATTTATTTCGGTCCTCGCCCCTCTCTCTTTAGATCCACTATATATATATATATATATATATGTATAATATCATATAGTATATTCACGCCTTCTGACCCTTATTTCTTCAAATTCACACCTTTTGATTGTGCTTTCTAAAACGGCAAAATTTCTCTCTCTGAGAAATCAATCCCACAATACCCAAATCATGTTTATTCCAATTGAAGCCTTAGAAATGAGCCCCTCCCAATCAGTCTTGGCCTTGCTCACTCGCTGCCTTTCTCTTTAGCCCCTGCTCTCTCACTCGTTTGTATCTTGTTGTCTGCTTTCTCTCTCTTCGTTGCTCATCTCTGAATCTAGGTACAATTTTGTGCTTCTCTCTCCCTCGTTGTCTATTCCACACACATAACACACATAAGGTGTTCAACAAAATGCCTATAACTATCAAAGCGTGGGTGCACACACACAACACCCGGCACACACGCAACACACGACTCACACCCCCTCGGAAAGCTTGGCTTTGATGCATTTCTTGCTTCAGATCTAATTTATTGTATGATTATTGTGTTGGATATGTTGTAATTTGTTGTTATGGACAGGTGACGGTGGCGTGGTTAGGGATGGGGAACGGGAGCCAACCCGAGTGGGGATGGGGATTAAAATTTCTCCCGTTTATAGATTGTACCAAAGATGGACGAATATATTTAAAACCGGTATGAGAATGGAGATTACTTCCTCCGCCCTCATCCCGGTCCACTATCATCCCCAGTTGTTTCTCGTTCGCAACCAACAAAAATGGATGCAAATGAAACCTTGGAACAACCAAAACACTTCTCCTATGGGAAAACCAGATATGTGATTCTCAATCATTTACGCCACACTCAGGTATTTTAACCTAAACCCATCACCCATTTCGACTACTTAGATCATACGAAGAATAAGGCTGTTAATGAACTCAAGAAAGCTTCGAATCACAACAATGGAAATGTTGTCCTTGAGACATCAATGGTGCATTCATCCGAGGGCTCTACGATATCTGATGAAGAATGTCACATGGAGTCCGATGCTGAATCATCATGTAGTCCTCAACCTGTTGCTGGCAATAGTTTACCGGAGAGTGATGCGCAGTGATCTTATGATTTATGGGATGAAGAGGGAGCTAAGAAGCTGGTTGAGGTATTGGCATGGATGGTGGTTGTTTACAGTGAAAAACCAGGGGAGGTTTTGGCTGAAGTTGTGAGGGTTATTAAAGATTAGAGGAGAAACAGGTTGTTCCTCGAAAAAGATTACGGCCATGTCCAGCTTTTCGGAATCTGTTCTCAAAATTTTAAAAACACCAATAACTTATTTATTTAATATTTTTATTTTCAAAATTTAAAAAAAAAAATGAGATTTGAATCAAAGAAACAGAAAATAATTTTAAGTTATTTTCAGAGTTTTCTTTAAAAATTTTGAAAATAAAGAGAACAATTTTAAATTTAAATGATGTCTGCCCTTCGAGTCTCATTACCAACAAATTTCTTTTTTTTTTTTTTTTTACTTCTTCCTCTCTCTCATAATATATAATATATATATTAATTATAACCCGTATCTGAAGGTACGATAAAATATAAAATTTTAGCTTCCAAAAAATTGATCCCACTATATTAATTTTTTTCAAATTATATTAACTACAAATTAATCAAATATTAAATGATTAAATATATGATAGAAATAAGTGATGTGATATTTTTAGGAAAAAAATATATAAATAATTAAATATGTAATAAAAATGAGTAATGTGATTTGACGTTTGAGTCTGACAAAAGGATGATATGTGAGATAAGTGATTGGTGATGATTTTGGAGGAGAAAATATGACTGGAATAAAATTCAAATACATTCCTGTTTTATTATTTAATATAAATTATAATATAAATTATATAATATAATAATATTATATAATAGATATTATTATAATATATTATAATAAAATATGTTATAAAAAATATTATAATATGTATATATATATTATGAAATTGTCAATATAAAAATAACATTTTTATATTATTTTGTTAATATTTGAATTACTGTTAAAATATATATTTAGACTGTCCAAACAAGTTTTACTATTTTCTATATTATAAATTATTTTTTTAATTATTTTTTTTTTTTTGTTTTCTTAGATTGTATTTGTTACTTTTAATCCGTCATGTTCGAGTTCAGAGATTCCCCCGCCTCTCGCCACTGCACCGGTTCTTGTCGCTCAGACTTCCGAAGTCTTCCTAAAGGAGAGTGCATGAAAACACTNTTGAAGCCTTAGAAATGAGCCCCTCCCAATCAGTCTTGGCCTTGCTCACTCGCTGCCTTTCTCTTTAGCCCCTGCTCTCTCACTCGTTTGTATCTTGTTGTCTGCTTTCTCTCTCTTCGTTGCTCATCTCTGAATCTAGGTACAATTTTGTGCTTTTCTCTCCCTCGTTGTCTATTCCACACACATAACACACATACAACACACATAAGGTGTTCAACAAAATGCCTATAACTATCAAAGCGTGCGTGCACACACACAACACCCGGCACACACACAACACACGACTCACACCCCCTCGGAAAGCTTGGCTTTGATGCATTTCTTGCTTCAGATCTAATTTATTGTATGATTATTGTGTTGGATATGTTGTAATTTGTTGTTATGGACAGGTGACGGTGGCGTGGTTAGGGATGGGGAACGGGAGCCAACCCGAGTGGGGATGGGGATTAAAATTTCTCCCGTTTACAGATTGTACCAAAGATGGACGAATATATTTAAAACCGGTATGAGAATGGAGATTACTTCCTCCGCCCTCATCCCGGTCCACTATCATCCCCAGTTGTTTCTCGTTCGCAACCAACAAAAATGGATGCAAATGAAACCTTGGAACAACCAAAACACTTCTCCTATGGGAAAACCAGATATGTGATTCTCAATCATTTACGCCACACTCAGGTATTTTAACCTAAACCCATCACCCATTTCGACTACTTAGATCATACGAAGAATAAGGCTGTTAATGAACTCAAGAAAGCTTCGAATCACAACAATGGAAATGTTGTCCTTGAGACATCAATGGTGCATTCATCCGAGGGCTCTACGATATCTGATGAAGAATGTCACATGGAGTCCGATGCTGAATCATCATGTAGTCCTCAACCTGTTGCTGGCAATAGTTTACCGGAGAGTGATGCGCAGTGATCTTATGATTTATGGGATGAAGAGGGAGCTAAGAAGCTGGTTGAGGTATTGGCATGGATGGTGGTTGTTTACGGTGAAAAACCAGGGGAGGTTTTGGCTGAAGTTGTGAGGGTTATTAAAGATTAGAGGAGAAACAGGTTGTTCCTCGAAAAAGATTACGGCCATGTCCAGCTTTTCGGAATCTATTCTCAAAATTTTAAAAACACCGATAACCTATTTATTTAGTATTTTTATTCTCAAAATTTTAAAAAAAGATAAGATTTGAGTCAAAGAAACAGAAAATAATTTTAAGTTATTTTCAAAGTTTTCTTTAAAAATTTTAAAAATAAAGAGAACAATTTTAGATTTAAATGATGTCTGCCCTTCGTGTCTCATTACCAACAAATTTTTTTTTTTTTTTTTTTACTTCTTCCTCTCTCTCATAATATATAATATATATATTAGTTATAACCCGTATCTGAAGGTACGATAAAATATAAAATTTTAGCGTCCAAAAAATTGATCCTACTATATTAATTTTTTTCAAAATATATTAACTAGAAATTAATCAAATATTAAATGATTAAATATATGATAGAAATAAGTGATGTGATATTTTTAAGAAAAAAATATATAAATAATTAAATATGTAATAAAAATGAGTAATGTGATTTGACGTTTGAGTCTAACAAAAAGATGAAATGTGAGATAAGTGATTGATGATAATTTTAGAGGAGAAAATATGACTGAAATAAAATTCAAATACATTCCTGTTTTATTATATAATATAAATTATATAATATAATAATATAATATATTATATAATAGATATTATTATAATATATTATAATAAAATATGTTATAAAAAAATATTACAATATATATATATATATATATATTATGAAATTATCAATATAAAAATAACATTTTTATATTGTTTTGTTAATATTTGAATTACTGTTCAAATATATATATTTAGACTGTCCAAACAAGTTTTATTATTTTTTATATTTTAAATTATTTTTTTAATTATTTTTTTTTTTTGTTTTCTTAGATTGTATTTGTTACTTTTAATCCGTCATGTTCGAGTTCAGAGATTCCCCCACCTCTCGCCACTGCACCGGTTCTTGTCGCTCAGACTTCCGAAGTCTTCCTAAAGGAGAGTGCATGAAAACACTATGACGTAGGGCGAGTTATTTCAAAAGGGTTATCAAGCCGATGCAAACTTATATATCCTGATTTCTCAAGTTTATGCTGCAGATTCTGGGAAAAAGTACAATGCAGATCTCAACAATAAAGCTACTTTCTTACCGTAATCTCCCTCCTTCCTTTCACAGACGTGCTTGTGTGTGTGTGTGTGTGTGTGTGTGTAAGAGAGAGAGAGAGATTTAAATACAATAAGTCATACTGGAATTCTTGATAGAAGAGAATCTGCTAGAAGAGAATTGAGAAGATCTAACACTGGAATAAATGCAAATCATTTCTATCTAATATTTTTCTTCATAATTGTCCATTTTCTTTCCCTTCCTTTTCAACTCCATATTTGCTCATGATTTTCAACAGCTAGTTGATTTGCCATGTACTCCAATTTGCACCATTGTCCAAAAGCATTCCTTTTTCCTCCGTTCTATATATCCTTGCACTGCAGCCGTACAATATGAAGTCTTCATGAGCTGGCAAACTGCAAGCATTTGCCCATTGCAAGGAATGGAATAGGTTCAGTTTACACAACCTACATTTCACTAGCCAGAAAGGCATGACCAACTATACAGGTAAGAAGCCTTAAAAGTCAAATTGCCCTGTTGGGTTCTTGGTCCAAATCACTTCCAACAAAGTTTTCCTCAAGTGGATTGGAAAAGTACCTTGTATTGAAACGATTACAGCGTACTTTCCAAGAAACAATTATGGCGGCTACATATCTAAGATTCTGAGAATCACACATCAACTTGCCCCCTCTAATCCACATCTCTTCAATTCTACCATCTACTTGAATGTCCAAATTAAGAGCTCAACCATTCTAGGCAAAACCCTCATCCCAGACATAAAACTGGCGAATAACTACATCTAGAGGGCAAAAGCGTTGTCACAGCCCAAGTAGGATGACCTTTCACAGATGGACCAAGTTAGGCACAAATTCAAGCATACCTGACAACTTAGCTGTCCCAAANAAAAGCGTTGTCACAGCCCAAGTAGGATGACCTTTCACAGATGGACCAAGTTAGGCACAAATTCAAGCATACCTGACAACTTAGCTGTCCCAAACACCACTGGCACCACACTATCACAAATTCTTCTGCTGCATTTACATTGAGCTATGCCACTGAACCACCTGTGAGGCTCCCATCTTCTGCAACTTTGACATGTATAGAGTATAGACAGTGTTCTCTCGAGGAGGAGACAAATATTGCAGGCTCCAATTACTCAGCATTCTTATTAAGCCCAACCTTTGGCCCCTCTTTCCATCTTCGGCGCCTTTGACAATCTGCTGGATCAGGGCTAACATCAACAACCAAAATAGGGATGCAAAGGTAATTCTGGCTTGAGCTCTACAGAAATGCAGAAAGCTAGCTCTACTTTTCGAACAATTATATTAGGAGAGTTTGNGCAAAGGTAATTCTGGCTTGAGCTCTACAGAAATGCAGAAAGCTAGCTCTACTTTTCGAACAATTATATTAGGAGAGTTTGGCCGAACAATATCACATGCCAATTCATCCTGGTGATAATAGTGAAACCTGTTCCTTGTGTATTCTAACTTGCAATAGAATTAATGGCACCACCAGAAGGACAAATCATATGGTTAAATGTTTCCTCCTCCACCTGCCTGCAGTCCAGTAGAATACACCGTGTCGGCAGCTGCATTGTTTGTTTACTTCGAGACTACCTTCATATGGCATTTCTTTGTCTACTTCCGCCCTTGTGGAAAATCCTGCAAATGGCAGAATATGAACTCATAATTGAGGGGGTAGCTCACAGTAACCCTACAAAACAATAATCAGTTAACCTTGAATCAAAACATGCAGTCTTGCTTTTATATTAAATTGGGAAACTGGGAAAGCTTATAATGAAACCTGATCATATGAAAAATTGAGGAACCACCAATAATTCAAAGAATGAAGATCATAGCTGCATTAAATTGTAGAACAATACACAGCCACAGGTAAACGCGTGTGAAAAAAAGGAGGAATTCTTTCCTGACTTGAGCAGTGAGCAAGAAAATTTGTTTTACATTAGAACCGCCGTATAGCTCCGAGAAGGAAAGATGTTGATTTACATGTGTGAAAAAAGGGAGGAATTCTTTCCTGACTTGAGCAGTGAGAAAGAAAGTTTGTTTTACATTAGAACTGCCGTATAGCTCCTAGAAGGAAAGTTGTTGATTTAAAAAGTATTTATAATCACTCATAACCTCCAACACAAAAGAAGAAAATAAAGATATTTTAGGCTTGCAACAAAAGTGCTTTGAACAAAAAGGCGTGAGATTTTGGTATCTGACATACTAGAATTCTGAGATGCATTCAAATCAGGAAGAATCCAATTACTAACATCAAAATGTTCCTCACATAGAGGCAGGACCCTCACCCAAAAATATAACACAGTAACATTACAAGAAGCATGAATTATTTGATAGCAACAATGCTGACAACCACCATATGCACAAAGAAACTGTATGATCTGTTCACAGAGGAATTAGGGGAAAACACTTCACTCATCATTCATGTTACAAGGGACCACAAAACCAAATTTGCTGTGAGTGCATGTCCTCTCTAATAATGTCATTAAGGGATAAAGGGGGTCTTTTTGGGTACATTAAGACAAGCTCTGATCTGTATTGAATGATCAAAGACACTATCATAGAGGGAAAATATCTAACCCGAGCTTCCAACCTTATAGCAATTTAGCAATTTACATTCATAGTATGCTTGCTCGGCCATAGATTATGCATTGATGCGTCAAATCCGGTCAGCCAACACCTGATGGTCTGAATCGAAGGGTCAAATATTGAGNCAATTTAGCAATTTACATTCATAGTATGCTTGCTCGGCCATAGATTATGCATTGAAGCGTCAAATCCGGTCAGCCAACACCTGATGGTCTGAATCGAAGGGTCAAATATTGAGTTTGCAATAACCTTGAAGCCATGTAACGCAAGCTGGTAACCATAAAATAACCTCGGAACCTACAAAATTCACGACATGTTCACACATGATGCATCGCAAACATTTTCTATCACATCTCTTCCGAAAGCAAAAGAAAAAAAGTGGAGGTTGAGCTAAAGAAACTCATAAACATTTTTTTTTTTAAAGAAACTCATAAACATGATTAAATCATAGAACTAATAAAACTAATGAAGCCCAGGAGAGAGAAAAAATAGCATGAGCTGGATGAAATTACCATGTAAATCACTTGGCGGAAGAAATGCGGCGCAAGGAAGATATCCAGCTGCTTGAAGGACCAATGTTATCAGCATGCCCATGATCAGGGTTTGTGGATTCAGCAGGCAACGCTGGTTTTATGGCCTTTCTTTTTGAGATTGCAGCAAGAGAAAAGGAAGTAGATGGCACGCATGCATTGTTATCCATCTACACAATCAACATCGTACATTCAGTGTCCAACTAAGCTAAATGAAACAATGAGAGAGGAAATGGCCACATCTTTATCAAATTGCTATCATGTAAACGAAGATTTGATGCTCATCAACAAGCAACAGCATCAGATACTTGCTACTTTTCTGATTCAAAGAGGATGACATAACTCACATTTCTCTCAAGGGGCTTGTCAGAGCTCAAATTCCTTTCTGGTGGCGATTTAAATTGCATGCGAAAGCGAGGACTAACAGGATTGCTTGATCTCGTGCGCTCTGTCAACTCGGTCGGATATGAAGCATTATTGCCTGCTGACATTGAATAAGAAACAAGTCGTAATATTCGTTTCTTAACAGTCGAGAAATAGCAAAGTACACATATCACGCAAACCATATAAGCTTCTCCAGTATATCTCAGCTCAGTTTCAATATTGGTTACTCCTGAGAAACATTTTACAGTGATCGGTACCAGAAAATAGACCTCTTCTGTGTAATTGTTCAAATATTTATTATTCGACATTATGAACACATGATCCAGAAGGGACCAATAAATTCTTCCATGCCAGCATTCTTTCGAAAATATGCCAACCAAGATGAGCAACTGGACAGAACAGTTGAAATTCTCAAAAGTTCATTATACCACTGTCCTTCAACCCATGGAAAATGACTTTTACTAGCAAAATCTAACCTTGGTGCTTGTCCACATGCTTTTGAACTGTTCGACTGCTGCTCTCTCCAGGAGCTGGCTGTAAAATTTGAAGGTCGATTATGTAAGCAACATCCCAATTATGACCAATTTCACAGGGGAACATTTTGGGCAGCAGACACAAAAGTACCAAAAACAAACTTTAAAAATCACTTGAAAAAAGTGGTGCAATCCTGCTCATAATTTATTAAAATCAGTGTACAGAAAAAAAAGCAAGAAACTAAGTAGCAAGAATACTAACTGATACATGTGGCCGAGGTTTACTCTTCTGTGCCTGTTGGTACTTTAGGATGGTCCAATCAAATATGTAATCAAATTCATATCCTGCAAACACAAAAACGAGAACCACATAGGTGTTTTAGAATGCATTTTATATGAGAAAAGCTGAAAATAGCACATTAACATTGCAGTTTTCACAATTTATCAATAAGAGGAGAAATGGAAAGAAGAACAACTTGTGTTACCAAACTTTCAGATGGAACAGCACAATGACATACTCAGACACAAACGGCACTCAACCATTTGCAAAAAGAAAGATCTGAAACATGGCACCACTGAGAAATCCACAATAAAAAGTGAAAAGGAAATATATGTTCAGCAATTGAAGTAGCCACTCAATGGAAGGACTGATGATGTCATTCCTACTCCTAAGAAATCATAAACCAAACCAAACCAAACCAAACCAAGCCAAACCTTGCCTTATGTCTCAATCATTTGAGGTCGGCTATATGAGTCCGTCTTTGCCATTCATTTCGATCATTTGCCATACGCTNCTTGAAGTAGCCACTCAATGGAAGGACTGATGATGTCATTCCTACTCCTAAGAAATCATAAACCAAACCAAACCAAACCAAGCCAAACCTTGCCTTATGTCTCAATCATTTGAGGTCGGCTATATGAGTCCGTCTTTGCCATTCATTTCGATCATTTGCCATACGCTCATTCAAGTTAAATATTTTCATATCTTTTCTTATTATTTAATCCAATGTTAATTTAGGTCTATCCCTAGTGCCCTACTTCTAGTACCATTAAGAGAGATTATCCCACTTTTTCGAACTGGTGCCTCTATTGGCCTCCATTGAACATGATCAAANCATACGCTCATTCAAGTTAAATATTTTCATATCTTTTCTTATTATTTTGTCCAATGTTAATTTAGGTCTATCCCTAGTGCCCTACTTCTAGTACCATTAAGAGAGATTATCCCACTTTTTCGAACTGGTGCCTCTATTGGCCTCCATTGAACATGATCAAACCATCTTAATCTATTTTCTCTTAACTTATCCTCAATTGGAACAACTTCTACCATTTCTCTAATATAGTCACTTTTTATTTTATCATTTCTAGTTTTTCCATACGTCCACCTTAACATTTTCATTTCCGCTATACTCATTTTGTCACTATATTATTTCCTAATTGCCCAACATTATGTCCCATAAACATTGTTGTCCTTATAGCTGTTTGGTAAAACNTCATTGAACATGATCAAACCATCTTAATCTATTTTCTCTTAACTTATCCTCGATTGGAACAACTTCTACCATTTCTCTAATATAGTCACTTTTTATTTTATCATTTCTAGTTTTTCCATATGTCCACCTTAACATTTTCATTTCCGCTATACTCATTTTGTCACTATATTATTTCCAAATTGCCCAACATTATGTCCCATAAACATTGTTGTCCTTATAGCTGTTTGGTAAAACTTATCTTCAATTTTATTGGTATCCTCCCATCACATAATATGCTAGAAGTTTTCCTCAACTTAAACCAAACGTTGATTCTATGACTTACATCATCTCTAATATCTCCATCATTTGTAATGATTGATCCTTCATATTTAAATTGTTCACTCGTTGGTATTTCTTAATTTTTAATCTTAACTTTTTCACTGTTTACTTCTTCTATNTTTTCCTCAACTTAAACCAAACAACGTTGATTCTATGACTTACATCATCTCTAATATCTCCATCATTTGTAATGATTGATCCTTCATATTTAAATTGTTTACTCGTTGGTATTTCTTAATTTTTAATCTTAACTTTTTCACTGTTTACTTCTTCTATTACTAAAATTGCATTATATATCTTCAGTCATACTCCTACTTATTTTAAACCCTTTCGACTCGAGTGTCTCTCTCCAAAATTTTAATTTCTTGTTAATCCTCCTTCGAGTTTCATCTACAAATACAATACCATCTACAAATAGCATACACCGTGGGACATCATCTTGAATGTGCTTAGTGAGTTCATTCATAATTAGGGCGAATAGGTATGCACTTAGGGTCGATCCTTAGTGTAATTCCACCATGATTGAAAATTTTTTANCTTCGAGTTTCATCTACAAATACAATATCATCTACAAATAGCATACACCGTGGGACATCATCTTGAATGTGCTTAGCGAGTTCATTCATAATTAGGGCGAATAGGTATGCACTTAGGGTCGATCCTTAGTGTAATTCCACCATGATTGAAAATTTTTTACTTTCTCGCATGGAAGATCTAATGGTAGTCATAATCCCTTCATACATGTTCCTTATCACCTAAATATACCTATTCGTCACTTTTTTCTTTCTAACACCCTCCGTATTATATTTCTACGTACATTATCATACACCTTTTCTAGATTTATAAATACTATATAGAGATTTTTCTTATTCACTCTATATTTTTCTATGAGTATCCTTAATAAATATATGGCCTCCATAGTTGATCTACCTAGCATAAACCCAAACTGAATTTCCGACACTGTATTCTCAACTCTTAGATGACGTTCAATGATCATTTCTCATAATTTCATTGTATGACTCATCAATTTTAACCTNCTTTTCTATGAGTATCCTTAATAAATATATGGCCTCCATAGTTGATCTACCTAGCATAAACCCAAACTGAATATCCGACACTGTATTCTCAACTCTTAGATGACGTTCAATGATCATTTCTCATAATTTCATTGTATGACTCATCAATTTTAACCTTCTATAATTATTATAGTTTTGAATCTTCTTTATTTTTATAGATAGGTACTAAAATACTCTTTCTCCATTCATCAGGTATTTTTCTAATAGCAATAATTCTATATTTCTATTGAATAATTTCATTAGCCACAACACCCCCTCACTCCCTAAACACTTCCAAATTTTAATTGGAATCTCATTCGGTCCTAAAGTCTTTCCTAATTTCATTTTCTTCAATACAAACTCTACCTCCAAATTCTTTATTCTACGAAAGAACGTTTCATGGATCCTACCATTTTTTATATCTATTCTAGGTTTACTAAGTGATTTTTATTTAATAGTTTCTCAAAATAGTCTTTCCGCAGATTATTTATTTCCTCATCTTTAACTAAAACATTTGAATCCTCGCCCTTGATACACTTAACTTGATTAAACTCTCTTATTTTTCTTTCTCTAATTTTAGCTAGTTTGTAGATGTCTTTTTCTCCCTTTTTACTAACTAGTTTTTTGTACAACTTGTCGTAGGCTTCTAACTTAACATCTCTAACTATCGTTTTAACCTCTTTATTACCTAAGAAATCATATAATCTAAATATCNTAGATGTCTTTTTCTCCCTTTTTACTATCTAGTTTTTTGTACAACTTGTCGTAGGCTTCTAACTTAACGTCTCTAACTATCGTTTTAACCTCTTTATTACCTAAGAAATCATATAATCTAAATATCCACAACCCGCGCCATTAACTTGCTTTTGCAGACGCTAACAAGGCCGCATAAGCAACCATGTAACAAGGCAAGTTTGGAGAAATTACCATTCCAAAATTCATTAGAGGATTGCTTTTTTGAATTGCCACTTTCAGTCCCATAATTAGTCAAACGAGTTTTAGTATCTATTCATGAAGATAAAATTGGATGGGCAGATTTAGCAGTTTCCAGAGAACCAGTTGTATATTATATATATTCAAAAGTTGGACAAGGTCTAGACCTACACTTTGCCATCATTTGAACCCACCATGTTACGGCTGTTAGCCCCATCATATAAATAAACAGAATTTTAAAACCCAGCTGGAATAAATTCTATTACAACCCAGCCCGCAGGTTTTTGTGCCCTGGGATCACATGAGCTCTCAAGATCATAACAACTATTACATGTCTTTTAACAAACATCAAAAGCAAAAGGCTTGTATGACCCCTTTAATGTGTAGTAAGGTGACTGGACTTTGTCAATAAATACCTTCACGAGTAAACAATTCTCGGAACAGACGTTTCAAGAACCCATAATCAGGCCGTTGATCAAAGGTCAGTGAATGACAATAATGGAAGTATGATGCGAATTCCACTGGATGAGACTTGCATAAAACCTTCAGAAAATATCATTCATAAAACATAAGCCACATAAATTCAGAAAGATTGAAACCCTGACCCTATGGATATATGGTATATACATACCTCAATGGGAGTTGATACCTTCTTCTCACATATTTTATCATACTTTTGCTTCTTTGTGGCAGCTTTTAAACCCTGCCATGGAAGGCTGTACACAATTTGGTGAGGTTTTATAGCTAATTCAAAAGAGAAAATAAAGATACAGTAGAATTACTGGCATACACATGTAGTTTTTTAACTTCAATGTCAAATTGTCAATAAATACCCATGTGACATCCCATATTAGCAAAAGAACGGCAATTTTCAGCAAAATACAGTTAAAAAGGGGGAAAACCACAGCACTGAGAAAGAAATGGCATACCTTCCTCTCAAGAAATATAGAAGTACATAACCAATAGATTCTAAATCATCCCGCCGGCTTTGCTCTACGAACAAGACACCAAAGCAAGTGAATAGAATGTCCTCACCCCAACTCTATCCACCAAACAAGAAATATGAAAAAAATAAAATAAAAAAGAGAGCATTTTTATGCTCACCAATTCCAAGATGAGTGTTACAACTAGCATAGCGTGCCGTCCCTGTTAAACTTTTGTTCTCCCTGTATATAACAAGAAGAAAGCACAAAAATACCTTTTACTTTGATCTGATGTCCTAAAGAAGTGATAACTCATAGGGCACACATTGTTTCTTTGAAGATGAATCTATTTGCTTGAGTTGCAAAAGACATCACACAAGACAACAGGGAGTAACAGAAACAGTATGTCTTGTATTGTTTTGAAATTTTAAAATATGTCCCCTTAAAGATTTCTTTTGCCTAATAAACAGTTCAAATAAAATATCACTAGAGTGTTGGGCAATACAAAACCCAGTCAAAACCGTGAGATGATGTAATAGTTGAGGAATGGAGATCAAAGTCGAAAAGGTTTACATGTGCAGACAAGAGGTCTACCTGTAAGGAATATGCTGCTTGGTTGTTGCATCCCGATATCTTTTTGCAAGCCCAAAATCAATAATATAAACCTGATGGATTCAATTAAAGGACAAGAATGACAAGGTCCCAATTACCATCATCCACAAAAAGAAATAGGGAGTAAATGTAGCACTTGTAATCACCTGATTTGCTTTCCGACCAAGACCCATAAGAAAGTTATCAGGCTTAATATCCCTATGCAAGAACCCTTTAGAATGCACATATTCTATCCTTGTTAACTGGCAGAACAGAAATATGAACCAAATAATTCCTGATTAAAATAGAAAAGTATTAATAATTCAAAGGGGGAATTAATAACAAACTTCTTGAGAGTTGAGATGGTCATGAAATAAGCCTTGATAACTTATTTGTTGACCAGATATGAATCAAGTCTGTGATAGTTTCATAGGCTACCAGAAAAAAAAAAAAAAGAAAGAAGATTAACTTCTGATGGGTCTGTAAGGTGCACACAACATCCGAAAATTGTTATTTCAGATCTTGTAGAGTAGTAAAATTCCATATGATTTGGTGGTAATATGTATACCAATCTATTTCTCCATTCTATATGGTTAAATCAACGGCATACACTAATATGAAAATTACATGGTCCCTCTACTTATTGAGGCAGTAATGTTTATTGACAGAAAAAAAATTGTAGCGCCTTATGATGAGAAATAGTGCTTACCATTTGATCAGCCAGCATTAAGACCGTCTTCAATGAAAACTTCCTGCCACAATACACAAATAGATCTTCAAGACTTGGTCCTAGCAAATCGAGGACCAGGATATTGTCTTCCCCATCTACCCCAGACCACTTTATACCAGGTATACCACCTAAAAGAAGAACCAAATCAAAATTTAAAACAACGGAAATACAAACATGCATAGATAATTCATGCACATTATATACCACAATAATTCATTCTAATTCCAAACAAACATACTTCCTCCCTGGAGAATATTGTATAGCTTGGCCTCATACAGTAGCTGTGGATGTTTTGTCTTATTGTTCTCCTGCAAACCAACAATCATTAAGATAATTATTTCCAACAAAATTCAATTGATTAAAGCCCTACAATAAACCAAAAAAAATAAACAATTAAAACGTTAAAACCAACCATAATAAGAAAAGGCTCTAATCAGTTCAATACAGCTAAAGTTACAAAAAAAACATGGAAAATTGACTAAAAATAGAGAAATGGATTTAGGCTTACGATCTTCACAGCCACGATCTCGACGGTATCAATATGCGAAGCTGCATAAAATCAAACGAAATTCACTAAATTAGCATCCATGAATCACGTAGTCAAAAACTCAATCTCCAGAAAATTTATCAAAAATAAATCGATAAAATTTTGTTGCGTAAACACACACACAAACATATGTATATATGTATATATATCTCACCGAGATGGATTTCACCAAATGATCCGCTTCCGATTTTACGACCGAGCAAGTATTTACCTCCAACGATCCTATCCATGCTTCAGATCGACAGCTCGAATCGAATCTATCAGATCATGAAATGAACCCAGGGTCTGATCAGAATTGGAGTGATTGGAGAGAAGGAAAAAAAAATCTACCAATTCTCTCGAGAAACTGAAACCACACGCGAGAATCCCAGGAAAATAATACCACGGCCAACGAGAGAGTGGAAGGGCTTGGATAACTCGTCATGGACGGTTCTCCAAGGCTAAATTACACTTTGGCCCCTTACATAAGACTCTTATTTTATATTATCCCTTTAACTATCAATTTTTTTATATTATACTCTTAACTATAAAATTAGTTTCAAATCACCCTAATTGTTAACTTTCAATAAAAATTTGTCTGAAATTTGTTACATCTTGATCTGAACTGTGTAATTTTTCTCACTTTATTCCAAAACATTGATATTTTTTGTCCACAAAAATAATGAACATTTCTAATTAGGACAATGTGAAATAATTCAAATAATTAAAAATATAATATAAAAAATTAATAACTAAAGTGAAATCAAGTATATATTTGAGGGGACCAAAATATATTTTGTCCTTTTTAAATTTTATGGCTAAAGATTAAACCAAAACGGGTGGAGGGTAATTTTGGGATTTTATAGGGAGAATCTTTGGCTCCTTGACTTTAATGAGTTTGTTTTTTAATTAAAAGAAAAAGATAATGCAGAAAAAAAAATATTGTTATAGTAATGTCATATTATTAATCTTTATTGGACGGTCTAACATTAGTAACTCATATTAAAAAGATTAATACCAATAGACTTAAAAGTTTGAGTTCTAAGTTCACCAAGTACATGTGATTAAGAGTTGTAACTCCCCAAAATTTACATTAAAGGATATTACTATGTATATAATATTTAATTACGAGAGCATCTAAAATAATTATTAAATAATAAAAATTATTCATCAATTAAATAAATAACCAAAACTAATTCCAATCAAAATATAATTAATACCTTCTTGTTACATTCAAAATCCAAATCACTACTAATTTTTCAACTAACTAATAAATACAAATATTTAAAACATTGTTAAACCACTATCTAAAACTCAAAACCAAAGGAAATATCTCTAAATCTCCGCATCCCGATTCAAATGCTCACATAGTTTGAGATTTTTCTCAAAACCCAAATCTGAAAAATTATATAATCATAGGATGAGTAAAAAGTCCATTGGAGAAACATTCTCAAACTAAACATGGTTTTCAAAACATAACACAATAAAGTCTCAATTTTCAAAATAATATGTAAAAATTTGAATTAATATAGTGATAATTGATAAGATCTTAAGTTTACGATAAAGACAATAAAAATTCATAAGTAAGTCGCCACATACATCAACATAATCAACACATATCTCATGTATATTTTCAGGTTGGCTAACTTGAATCCACATATCAAGAATATCTTGGCATGATAACTTGGTATTTGGGAAAAAAAATCGGATCAGAATTCAAGTAAATACGGTTAGTAGTTCGAATTTTGTAAAGCCGAGTTGTAGTTAGAAAATTTTTAGAGAATTTTGTGGGGATGTTTTAATGTTTATGAATCTGCTTAAAGAGGGCAAGAAATTAATTGGTGAGGAATGAGAAATCGAAATGCGAATTCAGTAAAGATAGGTTTAATGCAAATCAAAGAGTTAGGGGTGTGAGGGGTGGATTTTGGTAATGGAATTAAATACTTATTTTAATTTTAAAAATTAAGTGGGCATTTTTCTAGAATATGTTTTAATATGTATGTAATAAAAAAATATAATTAAATTAAATGCTTTTCTAGTATTCACAAAAATGACATTGCGAGACATATTTCCTTAAACTGTTCGCTGGCTCGTTTTGGGTATCTCCACCTCTCACAGGCTACATAGTAGCTTGATGTCACACCCTAATTGACTTGAGTGCAAATGACCAGTTTTGGTGGTACTTTGCACCAAGGCATGTCAGAAATCGGAATCAAGGTGACGCGGTTAAGTGGTTCGACAGATTGGGGCGAACCAAGGCAGCATGAGACCACCCGATTGAGCANGGTGCAAATGACCAGTTTTGGTGGTACCTTGCACCAAGGCATGTCAGAAATCGGAATCAAGGTGACGCGGCTAAGTGGTTCGACAGATTGGGGCGAACCAAGGCAGCATGAGACCACCCGATTGAGCATGACAGCATGGGTGGGCTCAATTGAAGCAATGTGGGTGCAGAGTTTCGGATTGCATGGCATGAGTTGAACCCAGCATGCACATTGGTTCGTGTAACAAGGTTGACTATTGAATGTGGGCACATGGCTGCTGAATGTGGGCACCTGACTGGCACATGACTGTTCAATGCATGTGACCAGAAGGATGTGGGCGGTTATGATGCTGAGACTCAATCAAGGCAGTTGCTGAAGCGGTTCTGGATGTCCCCAGTCTGAATCCAGTCTAGATGCATGCTGATGAAGGGCAGTTCCACAGCAGTTACTGGAAGTGGTGAAACTGCCTGCTAAGTGTTGCACAGAGACCAAGCCTGCTAGCCTAGTATGCTATGGAATAGCAAAAACGTGGGTAACTATGCCTTGGCAGATGGGGGTGTCATCTACCTTCCTTTTGTATAAATAGGGGTGCTTGAGCANAAAGTGGTGAAACTGCCTGCTAAGTGTTGCACAGAGACCAAACCTGCTAGCCTAGTATGCTATGGAATAGCAAAAACGTGGGTAACTATGCCTTGGCAGATGGGGGTGTCATCTACCTTCCTTTTGTATAAATAGGGGTGCTTGAGCATTCTGGAAAGGGGAGAATGTTCTGACTTTGAGAGTCTTTGTAAATTGTTGAGTTCAATATATAAGGTTTGGGAGTGTTGTCCCAGTAAATTCGTGTGTGCCTTCTGTGTGAGTTTTTGTCCCTTATTCTTGAGTTTGAGTGTGGCTGGTTGAAATAACAACGCCTTCACAGGTAGCTTCAAAAGAAAAATAAAAGTTACCCTATGACAGTTTGGTATCAGAGCATAGTTTTGACAACAGATCAACTATGACTGGCGGAACGAATGCTGATCTGAGAGAAAGGGTGGCACGTTTGGAGGAGCTGGTTGGTCCTCCACAGTTTGGTGATGTTGTAGCTCTCTCTGTGCAGCTTAAGTTGCTATATCAGCGGTTTGATGAGATGCGTGTCGCATATGAACAACTTCAAAAGACTGAATCTGATCACTTCAGTCGAGTGAAAAACGAAGTTGTTGACGTGTTGGCTACGATCTCCACATNAAGTTGCTATATCAGCGGTTTGATGAGATGCGTGTCGCACATGAACAACTTCAAAAGACTGAATCTGATCACTTCAGTCGAGTGAAAAACGAAGTTGTTGACGTGTTGGCTACGATCTCCACATGGACCGATGATATGGGGGAAAAATTGAGTTCCCTTGAGATCGACGTTTTAGTGCTTAAGAGGGTGCCTCTGTGGCTTCTGACAGTGAAAGCACTCAGAAAACTAAAGTGTCTGACCCTAAGCCTTTCACAGGCAGTCGAAATGCTAAAGAACTCGAGAATTTTCTGTGGGATATGGGGCACTACTTCAAAGCNTCGACGTTTTAGTGCTTAAGAGGGTGCCTCTGTGGCTTTTGACAGTGAAAGCACTCAGAAAACTAAAGTGTCTGACCCTAAGCCTTTCACAGGCAGTCGAAATGCTAAAGAACTCGAGAATTTTCTGTGGGATATGGGGCACTACTTCAAAGCAGTCCGCACTTCGGATGTTGAGAAGGTAGATCTCACTAGCATGTACCTATCTGGTGATGCTAAATTATGGTGGNGAGAATTTTCTGTGGGATATGGGGCACTACTTCAAAGCAGTCCGCACTCCGGATGCTGAGAAAGTAGATCTCACTAGCATGTACCTTCCGGTGATTCTAAATTATTGTGGCGAGCACGTTCTAAGGACAAATCTCATCCTCTAATTACTACTTGGGAGTCTCTGTCCGCTGAAATGAAGGAGCAATTCCTTCCCAGCAACACGGCTTGGCAAGCCCGTGATGCATTGAGGAAACTTCGACATACAAGCACCGTGANAATTACTACTTGGGAGTCTCTGTCCGCTGAAATGAAGGAGCAATTCCTTCCCAGCAACACGGCTTGGCAAGCCCGTGATGCATTGAGGAAACTTAGACATATAAGTACCGTGAGGGAGTACGTGAAACAATTCTAGTCTCTGATGCTTGACATTAAAAATATGTCAGAGGAAGACAAGTTGTTCAACTTTATGTCTGTCCTCCAAACTTGGGCACAGGCAGAACTTCGTCGGCAAGGGGTGAAGGACTTACCCGCTGCTATGTCCGCAGCAGATGCGCTGGTTGACTATAAAACGCAGGCTAATCCTCCAGAGAAGGAGTCGAAAGGGAAAGTCAAGTTTGCTAAGAAGGATAAGCAAAAGAAAAAGGCTGAGAAGTTTGGCAATTCAGAAAAATAGACTGACAAAGCCTCTTCATCAAAGGGAGGTGTTGACTCAGGTTGTTTTATCTGTAATGGCCCTCATCGTGCCAGAAATTGCCCCAAGAAGAAAAAGCTCAGTGCTCTTATGGCTGAGAAAACTGACTGTTCTGACGAACCAACACGAGTCAACCCATTACAACTTCTTAATGCAATTCGCAAAGAGGAGACAATGGCAAAGAGGGGGTTGATGTTTGTGCAGATTCGCCTGAACAATGTGGCTGTCCAGGCAATGGTTGATACAGGTGCAACCCATAATTTTGTTTCTGAACGAGAGGTACAACGGCTTAGTCTGGCTTTGGTGAAAGACTCTAGCCAGATTAAGGCTGTTAATTCATAAGCAAAACCAGTAGGTGGCGTCGCAAGAGAAGTCCCTCTAAAAGTGGGTGATTGACAAGGAACATGTGATTTTATGGCAGTCCCTCTCGATGATTTCCAGGGAATCCTTAGACTGCAATTCCTTACAAAGGCAATAATGTCTGTTATGTCACATTTACATGGGATGTTCGCGATGGACATGCTCAATCCTTGTTTTGTTCCCCTCAC